CATAAAATCAAGTGAAACAAAATGATTCAAATCAACTACAACATAAATATTTAAGTTAAAACATATTAAATAATAAATATAATTATATAACTATAATCAAAAAAATAAACTTGGGGTTTAAAAAAATCATAACAAATGATGTTATTTGGTTTAATTGTTTTAAAAAAAATAATCTCACATGGCTAAGAAACATAGAAGAGTATCCCAAAAGTTTAAAGAGTAAAAATATGAGAACAAAACAATAAAATATAAGAACAAAACAATCCCACATGGCTAAGAAACATAGAAGAGCATCCCAACTTATTTCTATAAATAATAGAGGTAATTTGACATTCAAAATCATGGAGCCTTTTGGTGAGCACAAAGCGAACTATTCTTTCGCTTCAATTGAGCTCAAATTTTAGGTTTCAATTGAGCTCAAATTTTAGGCTTCAATCGAACTTCTAAATTTTTTTTTGAGTTCGAGCCTTTTCGATTTCAAGTTTTAATATTATATTTCGAGTTGATAATTTTTAGCTCGTGAGTTTTTGAGTCGAGTTGAGCTTACTTTTAAAGTTTTCGAGTTCGAGTCGAGCTCAGCAATACTCGAATTTGACTCGGCTCATTGAACAAACAACGTTGTTTGGTTTAATTTTTTTTTAAAAGAAAAAATGTGAACCGGCGGTTCAAACCGATTTTGTCGGTTTTCAGCCGGTTTACCCCGGTTTTCCCGGTTTTCAGTCGATTTTTCAGGTTCTTTATCGGTTATGTGCTAATCCGGTTTTGGAAGTTAACCCGACCGGACAGGCCACCGGTTCACGGTTCAACCGGTCGAACCGGCCGGTCCGGTCCGGTTTTAATAACATTTCCTTCCAGAATTTGGTAGACGTGTAGAAAGGAAATCCCCCATCCTACCCCAAAGAGCCCCCCCCCACAGAAGTAGCAATCACAAACAGGGCTATCAGGAATGCAGTTTTCTCGTGGGAGAACCCGATTAACTCCAACCACATCGGTGCAAATGACAATGCAGACCAGGGGAATGAACCAGTAACACCCTGGGCCACAATAATTTGGAAAGATGGGATCTTTATGACCGTTTTCGCTTCCTGAACCAGGCCCATCAGTTCAGACCATAAGGACCTATTCGAAACTTGATTGCCAGATTTCATCCCACCGTTTGAAAAGTGTGGATCATTGGCAAAGAGGTTGACTAACGTACCAACAATAATGCTGATTAGTCCTACCAGATGGAAGGCGATTCTCCAACCAGGAATGCCGATGAATGTTATTGGAGCTAACAGTACTGCAATGAATCCTCCAATAACAGAGCCAAGATTGCTTGTAACTTGTAGCCACCCAAAAGCCATGCCACGGTTACTGTCATCCGTCGAGTCAGCAACAATGGCGAGGCCAATTCCATTTAAAGCTCTAGATATGGCTACCTGTTCAAAAGATGCCAAATGACTAATAATTTAATTTGATCTATTGGTTTGCTCGCTGCAGTGGCGACCAGTTCTCCCTGTAGCACTCTAAGCAATTTTTATAGTAGTAAACTGAAAATTCGCTTCATTGCACCAAACAAATAAGAAAAGTCTAATAGCGTGTCCATCTATAAACAACGACATTAAAGAAAAAACCCAAAGTACTCCAAGATTTCTTTTTGGTGCCTCAAATGTGCATCCTGAAGAATGTTTCTTGATTCAAGTTATATCAAATTTTAGCAGATCAAGTCAAGTCCATTCATGCCTTTCCATCCAGTAGTTTTGCTTTACCAGATCAATCATAACCAGTAGATTCACCAAATGACCTCTATCTGATCAAATGCTTTCACCACTATAGTACCCATACACTCCAACCAAAACATAATTAGGGAATACAATTCAATCACAGTACAGAAAACCTCTATTAAACAATACCCAATTCAACAACTTGGTTTAAGTAACTTCACCCCAAACAACATATAAAGAACAAAATCCCAACATCCCCTTCACATTCCCATCAACCAAACAGGAAAAAGGATAATAGAATATTACTAGATTAACAAAAGAAAAAAATTTGGGGGGGTAGGTAGCTACTGTTTACCTGAAAGAAAGTGGAGAAGGCAAGCAGAAAGGTGGCAGCAGCCCACAAAAACGCACCCAGAGCTATTACATGAGCTCGATTGGATAACAAGAAGATTGCACGATAGATCTGAACAAGGTTAGAGAGCCGAGTCCGTTGGGATTCGTGTGAAGAGCGGCACCAACTTCCTTGTAAACGCCCGGTAACAATGACTCATCGGCTTTCTCCATGATCCCTGCCAGGTTCACCAAGACCAGAGTCAAAGTCTCGGCCATCATTTTTCCCGGTTTACCAAGTTCTTGTCCCGCAGGTTTTGGATATCTTTCCAAGACAATGACGTAGAGGAGTAGATTTGTTCCCTGGCCGTCACCCTGTGTTGGTTTTGGAATATTCGGATGCTTAGCTAGAATTTTTGGGAATTGAAATTGGAGTGGATATATACGGTGATAGGACAAATGGATATTGTAGGATATACGTGCAACACATGGGAGAAATTGCGGACTTTCCCTTAATTGGAAGGCCATCAAGTCACCTATAGTTAATATTGGAAATAAATGTGGCACATTTTATGGTAAGATCCCTTCAATCAAGAATAATTGAAAGTTCAAATGTTACCAAATTATAAAAATTAGTATAGTTTTTCTAATATTTTCTGTTATTATACAAATATTAGAGAATTAAATTAAGTATTATATATATAACTTAGGGTTAGATGATATTTTGATTAATAAAATTATTTTCTATTATTATTTGGTATTTGAAGAAATATTTTATTTATTTTTATCTTTGAATTTTTTATTTTTATATAAGTTATTTTGATTTATTTTTTATTAAAAATTAATTTTTCTACGAACATTTCATATACAAATATAGTAAATTAATTTTTTAAAACAATTAGAAAAATCAATTCTTAAACTATCATTTATATATATATATATTATATAACATAACACATTCTTAAAATATTATGTAAAATTTTATAATAAAAAATACATTAAGATAACGAACCAAGTGGGTTTCGTGGTAAAAGAATTATTGTTATTCCTTGAGGATCTAAGTTCAAGCATTATATATGTCAGCGGTGTAAGTGTTTGATGTCAAAAGATTACCAAGTTATTTTTAAACAGATGATGCCTTGTACATAGGGATGACAAACGGATGAGTCAGGTGCGGATACCCTCTCCCCTATCCCCATACCCACCTAATATTTTCAAATCAACTACCCGCCGAAAAAATTTTCAAATCCACACCCGCCCATGCGAGTACATTCTCAAATTCATCCCCACACCTACTACGCAACTGGAGACATACCCGACTAGACCCGCCTGACAACAACCTTAAGTTATACATAAGCAACAAACATGTCCATTAAAAAACATAATAAAATAAACCAAAGATTATAAGTTATTTTTTATACAATATTAAGATTTATAAATTAGTCTCTAAAATTATACTTAAATTCATAATGGTCCAAAATTTATTGGGTATTTAGTGTGCGGGCGGATGCGAGACGGGTAAGGTCTCAAACCCATCACCCGCCCACTACTCGCGATGGGTATCACTTTCTAAATCCAAACCCGCCCATTACCCACTACAGTTATACTCATCCCCGTCCCAATTAGAACGGGTACGATGCGAAATTTTCGAAATTGTAAACGTTTGTGATCCCTACTTGTACACATCCTAGATTAATAAAAAAAACGTAATACATTTAATCCTATAATTAAAAACCTTGTCGCGGAAGTATCCAATAAATATATATAATTGTTTGGGAAAACTATTCATTTAGATTAAACTTTCAATATTTTTAAAATCATGTCTAATTCTTAGCTTTTATTTCATTTTAGTACCCATAATTAAAAACTTAACGTATTTAATATTTAAACTATCAGTTTTGGTCTGTTTTAGTACCTAAACCTTGATTTTTTTTCAAAAACTTAACTCTAAGTTTTTAAAGGATGTACTAAAATGAAATAAAAATTAAACATTTAGGTATGATTTTAAAAAAAATCAAAAGTTTAAATACTAAAACTGACTAAAATTAATAATTTAAGTACTAAATGTGTAGTTTACCCTAACTGGTTTTGGCAAAGAATCCGGGAAAATTAAGGTACTGAACCGTACAGGGAAATTGGGTTAAAGTTGAAGAATCAATTCAAGGTTTTATTTCTTTTATTTTTTAATCAATAACGGCCCGTTTATTTATAAAGAAACAAGTATAACGGAAGTATGTAAAATTGGCCAATAGGTGATGCGACCTCTTGGATAAAAAAATTAGCATATTAGGTTATCTCGGAAATTAATTTAGGATCTAAGGAAAATTCATCACACTTATATGATGAGTTTATCAAAATAATATTTTTTCCAAACTATTAACATGATGATTTTTAATAAAATATAACTTCAGGATGAAAAGTTTGAATAAAAAAATATTTTATTAAAATTCGTCATGTTAACGTAATGAGTTTCAAGTCACAATAATAAATACCATAGATTCTTAAATAATTTAATTTTGTGTCATATTGAGTTAAATAATTAACCCGCCTACATCAATTTCTCCACGGAAGTATACACATGACCATAGGAATCGTGCCCAACAGAAGCCCAAACAAAGAGGAACAAATTGACGATTGTATTCCAAGGAGATTGGAGGGCTACCAAAGCCCAGTGTACTAGGATGTGATTTGCTAAAATCTGCATGTTTACTCTTTCTCAGGTACTTGTAATATTCCCAGTGTATTAATATTATGATGTCATTTCTTTGGTTGCAGCAATAGAAACTCTACGTGCTCGTCTTTACGAGAAACTATAAGTTTATAGAAGATATTTGTAAGCAAAAACTACAATTTACATTGTAGTTGTAAGTCAATTACAGATGAACCCAGAAATGTAAAAACTAAAGTTGAAAGGAAAAAAAATTTCAAGAGAAGCAAGAGCCACTGAAAATTTACATAGCATAGGCAAAATCTTTTCTATTTGAAAGAAGAGGAAAGCTGTACAGAATATACGGCACAAATTCCATACATATAACTATCAAATCATACATAACTGACAATGAAACATATCAAAATTCCAAAGGCAAACTTTAAGGTGGTGATTATAGAATTCCCAGTTCTCAGATGAAGGACGGGGGGAACTGGTTCAAACTAAAGCACAAACAAGTATTTATGAAGTGAAACTATGAAAACAGAATAGTCACCAGGGAGAATATAAATCTATCTCTTCCAACTTCGACTTCGGGATAATGGGTCTTTCATTCCACCAACAAGCCATGTCTCTTGGACTATATCAGTTGAAATCTTGTTGAAATCAGGGTCGTATTTCATCACCGCTAAGCTCTCTTTCATCTTCTTGCTTTCTTCTTCCATTAAAGACCTCAAATTCTTTCTTTTCCCCTCGTCTTTCCTCTTACATTCTTTTAATTTTTCTCCTTCCTCGTCACCTTTCTCTACGTTTTCCTTGTTCTCTTCCACCCTGTTAGATTCTAACCAGCTGTTAGCAGGAGCCGACCGACACCGCATGAGCAGGAGAGCATTTGCAGGTGGAACTGCTGGCTTATCATCAACATGATCAAGGGAGCTGTCTTTTTCTTTGTCTTCTTCTTTATAAAACCCATTGCTTTGATCCTCCTGCAAGACCATGAACCATTTGGAAAAGATGGTTCTTGATGTCTCATTGCCTTGTACGTAGTTGTCGTTTTCTTGGTATTCTTCATCTTCGTCTTCATCATCAGTAGTGATATCGGATTGTGGAAAAGATCCGAAACACCGAAAATCGAAACGAATGGATCGCAAGCATGTTAAGGAGTGCATGACTTCTTTCTTAAAACCAAGTGACTCCACCCAACTACGTCTCTTTCTGTGTATTCTGTTGCAGTGAATTCTTTCAATCTCTTCCATGACGGATTGCCAGCTTTTGCATGAGCTTGTTTTAGACCCGACTTTGATCTGCCCGGCGCACGTGACTTTCGGGGAGGTGGGTTCCGTGATCTCGGATCCCATTTGCTTGTTTTTAGCCCATAGAAGAGGACTAGCTTGGCCGCCGCCAGCTCCACCACCCTTTCTGGTGCTCGATTTCTTAAGGAGACGGTAGTGGTGGTGGTGCTTGTTGGGTTCTGAAGGCCTTGCAGGACTACAAATGTGCTTTGGCGGCATTACTGTTAGTTGGACTCGAGAAGGGAAACATACTAACAAATCTGCCGAAGGAGCTCCTCTGGTTTCTCTTCCTTTCATGGCCACTCTTTGTGTTGCTTCTCTCTTATTCTCTTTGCTAAGTTTCAAATTCAGTTGAGTTCTTCTTCAGATGTTGGACAACAACATTGTATATGGTTTTGTTTTGTTTTTAAATAAATTTGTTTATGGGATTTTTTTAAAGAAAAAAGGAGAGGGGTCGACAGCTTTCCTTTGCCTTTTTTATTCGTCTCTTTACTACAACCTGTTGCATGTTAAATTTTCTCTCCTTTCTGATCTCTTTCAAAAGAGGGGTTCACAGCTCACAAGTGAACTTCTTTCTTAGCCATTGCTTTCACTCTTCTTTTCCCTAAACATATTATAAAAAAGTTAAAAAAAAAAGGGGGAGGGGAGAAAGAGTTAAAGCCCACAAGCTTTGTTTCTTGGCCATTGCTTTCTCTCTTCTTTGTTTCATACGCTCAAGTTGTGAGCCCATTCCATCTATTCCATAGGCCATAGTGCCCATAGAAATAAATAACTCCAACAACTACTAATTCCCATAGTGTTTCGGAACAAAGGAATACGGTAAGTTGGTTAGTTGGGAGAAAAAGAAGCGTAGCCGAAAGTAATTAACGAATAGGGCGAAAAAATGGAGGTTAAAAGAAAAGGTTGGGAAGATATAATGAGTAATGCAATGCACTCGAGAGCACGGGGTCCATCCACTAAACAGCTTTGCGTTGCGTTAGGATTAGACTCTTTCTTTAGCTTTATGCTTACGACTTTCCTTTCCATGAAGCATAGAGAATACTGTTATAAATCTCTCCTTTATCATTTATAGTCATCATTGGAGAGATATAGTAGTGGGGTAAGCAACACATTTTCTTACGAACCCCAACATCATAATTAGCTACTCTGTACGCGTTTACACTCTGCTTTTCTGTTATGGTTTCTTTTTTCCAGAAATAATCACCTGCTTCTCCGGAAATTTGGAAAATAATATAGAATCAGATTAAGAGAGTTGCCTTCATGTTGGTTTTCTTGTTCTTGTTATTAATTTGTCATCAGAAAAGGTTTCATGTTGATGCGAAACTAGTTCCTACTAATTAATCACGATTGTTTCTTAAGAAAAAGTGTTTGGCCATCAGCCACCCTGTAGGAGGTTGTGCGTTTTTGTTTAATGAAAAATCTTTATTCCCTTTACAACTAATTAATTTATGTAACTATACTTTAAACAGAGTGGCCCTTCTTTCATAATGCAAACCATATGATTCTCAAGGTGTGAAGACGGCTCAGAAGCAATCATTTTTATCATTATATTTTCTGTAACATGTACCAACAGTCTTTGTTATTGGAACAGAGAATGTTGGTACTAAGAAAACTGATCATTTAAGGTTCAGAGGAAATCTGCTTCACTCTAACAATAATCACAACTGTCCCACCGTCTGTTTAGTCGAAGACACTGTGAAACTAGGGAAATGGCACTATAATACTGTATAGTTAACTGTTTTATGCCAACCATTGAATATTAGACTAAAAACGAAGCCCCAATTACCAGATTATTCAATTGGGAATCTGCATTTGTTTTCAATTACGACAAATAAGCAGTTGGAGAAGATATAAAGTTAACTGAGTTGGCTTATCTGGTAACAGAAGCAGCAGAAAGTGTCGCTAATAATTCCCTGCATGATGATCTTCTGCAAGCATTTAAAACTACAATAGAGCAATTCAGTGATATTGCAGAAATGCTCTCAAAAGGAAATGCAGTGTTATAGTTTCAGGCAGTTGGCTGAAACTAATACTATCGATGAAAATGAAGATTTTGGGTGGGGAAACCCGACTTTGGTTAGCATCTCAGGGATTGATAGCCATGATCGAGAGTTTACCGATTGTTTTATTCCACAAAACGATAGGCAGCAAAATGTCATTGAAGCCTGTTTATCAGTCCAGTCTAAATATTCCATGAACATTTATGTAGTGCTTGCGCCACAATCTGACTGCTTTTATCAATTATCATTGCTTCTATTAGTTTGGAAAAAAAGTCCAGTATGAATATAAATTCAGTTGGCTTGGACTTTGTACTAAGATTGAAGACAGGCTCAATTACAAGAACCCATTGGTCTGATTTGGATAAATAATTAAGTGTTACAGGCATCCAGTCCAGTCCACTAGTGAGTCACGACCTTCATTAAGTTTGATCTTGTAATTTCCCTAAAAAATAGTTCAGCAATTGAATTTTGGATCCACCAAAAGCCATCAATCCTATCCTCTCTCAGTTGTTACTGTCCCCAACATGCATGCAACTGAGCCGCCGCCCTATATATTGCTTCATCATTTGCCTCTCCTCTCTACCGCTCCCCATCTCTCTATGGAGGAGCGGACTACATTGCCTACCATCACCAATAGTCCTAACTCTCGTCAAGGAACTGTTGGAATTGAAGTCCCACAACCCAAGCCTGGTTTTATGGCAGGAACCTACATTATTCAGGTCCCTAGAGATCAAGTGCCCTCCTAAAATGTAGTGATAGCAGAACAAACAATCCAGATAGGAATAGGAATAGTAGTAGTAAATGGTGTTTTTGTGTCGTCCCTGGACTTGTGATCTTTGTCTTGGTTCTCGGCATAATTGCATGGATAGTTTATATGTACCTCCTAAAGAGTACGTAAGCCAAGTTGTTAATTATTAAGTGTGTTTGTACATCACAAAGTATCCCATCTTAAATAATGTGTTTTTCATATGAACTCAACTCTTTCCTGTTTTCAGCCTTCAAAGTTTATTGAAGTAACAATATCAAAATCCCTAAGATAAATATATCATTAAACATTTAACTAGCAGAGTTTAAATCAATTCCAATGATTTTCCCATCCTCACATAAACATTGGTCTTAAAATGTAATTCTAAACAGTGATAACTTAAGAATTAAATTGCAAAGATAAACTGTAGCACAACTAATACAAATTTGTTCATATGGAATTTGCATGTGTAAGCACCTTAATACAGAGGTATCAAAAAGGCCAATGATTTTATCATAATGTACTCCTTAACCAGAAACAGATCATTATAGTGTGCCTTTCTCCATTGTTCAAGATTAAAATTAAAAAGGGATCTCTCTAATTATTGATTAATTTAATAAAACTTTCTGAACTCTTTTAAGATTCAAAGTTTAACTGTTGACGCAAGAATTCTATGAAATAACAACGGGGATTCAATTAACTCATCTGACTTTTGCGTTGTAAATGTTTGGACTGTGATTTCCACATGCTTTGATTTAAACGTAAGAGATTGATTAATTCTTGGAACCAGCTGCCTTTCTTCCCTGCTTTGACGCCAGTGCATTTCTGGGCAATAATGCATATTAGTGACAAAAGCAAAGTCGTTCCAGATTCAAGTGCTTTGGCTCTATAATTACATGAGTCAATAAAGTAATTTATAAGGGAATGCAGGCTCTATTTCTCATCTTTTTTTTAGGTACAAGATAAAAAAGAAGCACTAAGCTACCATTCAAGACTTAAAAAACAGAAACGTCTTCATCTTCATCCACCAATTATCACCTTATCAATCAAAGTCCAGGTGCCTGTATGTATATATATATACACACACACACACACACACAGTACTAGTAAAGTTGAAGCGCTTTAAACGTGGGGAATGGGGACCCTTTTCTGAGTCAAATTTTGATCATGATACAAAACTTGGAAATGGTGGAACAGGCCCCCCATCGTTGGGTTAAACAAGTCCAAAAATACAACTAAAAGCAGTTAATGTATGCATTTGCCTTGTCTCTTTCTATAACTTTTATAAATTACAATTCCTGGGGTTCTTTGCGCCAGGCTGCCTTGTGCTTTCACATTTGCTTAGTGGGAGAATACTAGATCTGATGGTTCACTGTTTTCAGTCGGGTGGAAGTAATCTTTTTTACAGTAATGATGATGGGTGAGATCCAAGCAACAACCCTAATGTACAAACACCTGATAAATCTGCTCCCTCCCGCAAGGTCATCAGTATGGGGAATCAGATTTATATATTATTATAAGAAATGTTGAAAGCATCTTCCCATGAGTATTATTCACATTCCGAACAGCACCAACCAACCCTTATTTTGCTCGGCCCTCTAGGCGGGGACCATCCGCCCATGAGTATCTCCTGTCAAAACAAATGCTACATCGTACAGGCTTACAGGACCATTTTCTAGGGAACAATCACATCTCAAAACCAGAGGCATATTTTAATGCATCAGACAGAGAAGTAGAGTCTCCCTGTAAATGATCCCGAATAGTTTAATCAAAATGGGATCAATAATAAGTGAGGGTGAGTTGGTTTATCTGTTCAATATAGGATGCATCCCCAAATTAGGGATTTCCCATCCCGGTACTTCTATCAAGGACGTCTCATTGATAGTGGAAGTGTTGTCAGCTTACCTGACGAGGTTTACTACAAGGACCCTTTACTTAAACCTTATTTATTTTATGATATTACCCGTGGCCGGGAATCCCATAGAGGTGGGCCTGTTTCATATCAGAATGTGCATGAAGCAGTGTTGTGCTTGCGCTTGTACGAGTACCTACAGAAAACATCAAAATCTTTGGGCGCGCCAAGAATCACAGTAGGTATAGTAACACCATATAAGATGCAATTGAAATACATACAACGTGAGTTTGAGAGTGTTCTAAGAACAGAGGAAGGGAAAAGAGATTTATATATTAATACTGTCGATGCTTTCCAGGGCCAGGAACGTGATGTTATTAGTATGTCTTCTGTCCATGCCTCAAATCATGGGGTGGGCTTTGTTGCAGATATTCGTCGAATGAATGTTGCTCTTACTCGTGCCAGAAGGGCTATGTGGGTATGAGATTCTTTCTTCTAACCTTTATATGCTATTACATTCTAGCTTAGATCATTCTCTAAACTACCTTGTGTCATTTTCTGGAATTGACATTAATGTTTTAAAAGGTTATGGGTAATGCGAGTGCTCTGGTGCAATCTGATGACTGGGCAGCCTTAATTGCTGATGACAAAGCTAGGAATTGTTATATGGACATGGATTCTCTCTCCAAGGACTTCACAAAAGACTTGCTCCCCAAAGACTTTTCCGGGCCAAGGGGACTTGGTTATTCTCCATCACAGGTTAAGACTGCTAACTTGAGGGGTTTAAGATCTGTTGGACCAAGACATAGGTCACTCGACGTGCACATGAACTCCAGGTCAGGAACACCATCAGAAGATGAAGAGAAGTCAGGGACAACAATCTTTTCTAGGAATGGGAATTATCGGCCATTTAAGCCACCGCTGGAGACTTCTTTGGATGATATTCATCAGTCAGCCGACAAATCTATAGATGCCTGGCAATATGGCATACAGAAGAAGCAAAATTTTGCTGGTACAATGGGGAAAAGAGATTCCTAGAAACTAATTGTTTTGTCCTTGAACTTTTTTTTGCACATGATCCTGTGAGCAGAACTTTATTTATAATCCTTGCATTGAAATTTATGAATAGTTCTTAGCTCCCCAAGGATCGAAACAGTTTGTGGGGAGTTGGTGCCAAGCTTATGTCTGATGATTGCTCCCAGATGAATAAGGTGAGAGGGATATGCATAGGTCACCAACGAACTCAGCCAGTCCTCGAGACTGATTCCTGCTAGGAGGTGGATGATCTCGGGGTAGGACATATGAAATCATACCCTAGATCCACCCACTAGCCTTTACAGGCTTCAAAGGTAAGAAATATATCATGTCCATGGTATGGAACAACATTTTAATGTTAAATTTCATATGGGATCGGTGTGTTAATCCTGTCTAATCCAGGAATTGAATGCTGGCATCAAGGATCGTTCCGCCCAACCAATATCCCTTTGAAACTAAAATTTTCCACAATATGAGGAATGCACGGTTGACTTAAGTTCTGGAATGTGAATTCATTTAGATCAGTCATATTCGAAGAAAGCGTTGTACATTAATCTAATCTACTTGACAAATGCTTACAAAATCAGAGGATAACTAATGATTTGTAAAGGGGCATGCATTTTCAGACTTACGTAGAATCAACATCATTGGGAGTTGCCGTATATATTCCTTGAACGTGCAGGTGCCCTAAGGTGATAATTTTTTAGTTTCACAGGATACGATTTGGTTTACCTTCGAATTCTTTGCTTTTATTCCCTATGCTGTTTAAAAAGCAAAAGACTTGGATAGAAATAGGGCATTTCTCGAAAATTCTGTATAGAGAATACAGATGTTAGGAAATCTCATGTAGCTGACCTTTGTGTGTACAGCCTCAGGTTCATCGGCTATGGACCCAAAACAATTCTTCCCCACCTGCTTGGAAAAGCCCAGCTGCTCTGGTTTCCAACTTGAAACCATTAAATAACGGCTCCAAGTTTTAAACGATACCAACTACTTATCAGTTATCATCTCCTGTGTTTTGACTAATTTCTTCAGGTTACCGTGCCTAGTTGAGTAATGCGGGAAAAATAATTTTTGTAGTGGTTACCTCGTACGTACATGAACATCAAATGCTTCGTTTTATCATTCTATTAAAAACCAGCTCCTGTTTGGACACTATTTGTTCTTCTGTAAATTCTGACATGTGCCTGCTCACAGACAGGATTGTAAGTTGGTGGGCGTTGCTATCCAAAACCAAGAGATTTGAAACTCTAACAAACCTGCGAAATAGGCGAAATTATACGATGCTATGTGTTCTCTTTTCTAGCCAATTAAAAACAAGGGAAAACTGGGACATTACTCATGGGATAAATCTTCAAAGGGCAGGTATCCTAATCTGTCCTGGTGCTTTGTCTGGCTTCCCTAACTTTTTCCTGCTGTAAATGGTCTATTCCACCCTCCAAATTATTAGACTTTATCTTTTTGGTTAGGCTCCAGTTTCAACATTGTGAGATATTATTTCACAGATTATTTTTACCACGTCATTAATAGTCTTAATCAATTAAAAGGATTTATTTCAATTTTTTTCTATATTATTCACACACACATATTTTAGTTTTCAAATAAACTTTGTCATTAATGCATATCAAAATTAAACTTAAATTTAAGCACTGTTTTTGGTCTTTATTATTACATATCAAAATTCAATATTTTAGCAAATTGGGACACCTGGGACAACCATTCTAGAAAAGTTAGAAAAGAAGCCTCCAGCCAAGAAAGTACAGCTTAAGAAAAAGAGGGGTTCACAGGCACCCGGAATTTCCCGGTTTCTTGAATTGATTGCATGAGAGGACGATCCCAGTACATTAGCCATCAAAGCTACGAACCTCACCTCACCTCACCTCACCTCACCTATTTTAAAAGCATACTCTTTTGATGGTTGACCTTTTACTCTATGATTCTTACCATCCCAATTTACACCGCTCGGAAGTTGAATATTCCATTCTCTGTTCCATTATTCCTTGAATCAATCAGGTTCGTTGCTCCTTTTTGCCATGGCCTCTAACTTGCTTTTGGTCTGTAGATCTTCACATTTCATGTACTTTGAACTGCTGCTGTGATCACGTGAAAAGTAACGTGATTTATTCACTGGTCTCTGTTTGGTCTGAAATGTTTCGGTTCTAAAGACGTCTGTTTTACATTAATTTTCTGCGTTGATTCGTTGTATTGTTGGACCAACGAAAGAAGAAAGGGGTTGAGGACTGGAGTAAGTAAACAAAGCTTGTTTCATCGTTGATCCAACACTACAGTAATATCTTGCTATAGAAGATGATTAGCTTAGACAACGGCTCAACGATTTTGGGCTTTCTAATTCTACGTAGTTGCAATCGGTTTGAAGTTGTATACTTTTGAAGTTACGCAGTTGATCGTGATTCGTGTAGATCGTTCACTAATAAAGCTTTCTTTTACTTTCAATAATCATGTTCCCTTTATGGATGACTGGTAGAAATTGCTATGATCCAAATGGGGTCTTGAAGACCGATTCCTGGATTAGGTTAAATGGGCAAGAAAGGAACAGAATTACTAAGATTGGTTTCATTTGTCTATCTCTGGCTACGGGAACTGCAGTCTGGTCAGCTGTGTCAACACTGACAGAGATGGGTTTCTTAAGTGAGAAGTTTTATTCAGCTTTAGTGTATCTTCATCCTTCATGATCTTATACAATTTCTTGTTTCTGTTGAATTAAGATAATAGTTGTCTTTTTATTGCATAAGCTTACGCTTGTACCACACGATTGATGATTCTAATAGTACACTTCTGAAGCATTTAACTGTTAACATTCAGGGAGACATCTATTAAACTATGAGTGCTACACTGAAGAAATCCACTTCAAATGGCTCCGAGAAGTCTGAAACAACTGAAGAGCAGCAGGCAAAGGTATCTTCCGCTTATATGGTCTCCTATCCCTATCCTAGATTATATGTTGAAAGGTGAAGTGAGCAAAAGCTACTTATATGTTGTAGGGAGGAAAGCTTTATAACCTTTTGATATTTGCAGATTAGTGAGATAAGAAAGTTGATAGGACCATTGCCTGAGAAGTTGGCCATTTATTGTTCTGATGCAGCCATCGCTAGATATTTGAGGGCGCGGAACTGGAATGTCAAGAAGGCAACTAAAATGCTAAAAGAGACCTTAAAATGGAGAGCAGAATATAAACCAGAAGAGATCCGCTGGGTATGCTTCAATTCATCTTCCTATAAGTAGTTTTGAATAGGGAATACCAAATTCACACGGAATTTGGCCCATACAGTCTGCTTGTAACAGGTTTTTCATTTTATCTTGGAACTGAGGGTGCTAGGCTATTGGCAATGAGTAGTCTGATGATTTTTCTTAGCAGTTGTATTCTTTTGCATTTAGTTTCGTGCATTCAACATGGTTTGTTGAATTGGAAAATTTTTATGGATTTAACCTTAAAGAGTAATGTTTTTCTTTTTGTATGGTATAGGAAGAGATTGCTCATGAAGCCGAGACAGGGAAGATCTACAGAGCAAATTATGCAGACAAGCATGGAAGAACAGTTCTTGTCATGAGACCTAGTTGCCAGGTTCCATCTGACTCCCTTTGCCTCTTACTTGTGCAATTTGTAGATCTGGTACTATACAAAAATTAAAGCTACTTTGAGTGAAAGGCGTCACAGCTTTCTCTGATGATTACCCTACAACCAGGGTGGGGGTGGGGGGGCGAAGAAACAATTGATGAATACATAAGATAGATCCCAATCTAGTAGTCTATGATTTTCTGGTCATGGTGGTTCCCATATTTGTCCCAAGTAAAATAGGATTTTCCACCACCACTTTAGAATTTAGCAAGTCCAAACAAAAGGTCAATGTAACAGTGTCTTACAGATTAGTAAGCATATTACTTTGCTGCACATGGATTAGTCTTGGCAACTTAGTTAAGTTCGTTCTGACTGCAGAACACAAAATCAACTAAAGGCCAGATTAGGTATTTGGTTTATTGCATGGAGAATGCAATTTTAAATTTTCCACCAGACAAGGAGCAGATGGTCTGGTTGATTGATTTCAATGGCTACAACATGTCACATACATCAATGAAGGTGACACGGGAGACGGCTCATGTTTTACAAGACCACTATCCGGAGCGCCTAGGTGTGGCAATACTATACAACCCACCCAAGTTCTTTGAACCATTCTGGAAGGTAGCCCATTTTGAGATTTTTTTCTGCCTTCTCTTTTTCTCCTTTCTTCCTAAAGAACATTAAACATACCAGTTTTAGGTGTCCCAAAAATATGCATACCTGATTATACACGGCATACAGATTTTGCAGATTTGAAAAGATCCTGATTAATATAGCTTTTCAACTTTTATATTTCTTTTTGGTTTTCAGCCAATGCGAGTTTGAAACATTTCAGCACTCCTAGGTTTTTTTTTTGTCTATATAAATTGCTTTTCATGTCCACATAAATATGAAATTATTCATTCCATTTAGATTCAGGCTTTATCTATGCAAGTTTGGTGGCTCTTTGCAAGACCGCATCTTTTACAGATTATGTGTTGCCTCGAGATAAGCTAGACTGGGTTCAGTTCCAGTTTGTTTTGTTATTGTAAGACATCTGATGCTCTGGGAATCTGTTTCTTGACAGGTGGTCAAACCATTTCTAGAACCCAAGACTCAGAAGAAAGTCAAATTTGTTTACTCCGATGATCCCAGTAGCAGGAAAATAATGGAGGACCTTTTTGATATGGAGAAGCTGGAATCTGCATTTGGTGGAAATGATGATTCAGGTTTCAACATCAGTCATTATGCTGAGAGGATGCGGGAAGATGACAAGAGGATGCCTGGATTCTGGACAAGGGGAAATCCTCCATCAGCAGCTCCGCCGCAACAGATTCCAACCCTTCCTGTTGATTTGAATTCCATCAATTTGAACTCAGATTCTAATGCTTTTGACAATGGCAAGGTAGACGGTTCCCCTAATCATATTTCTGACTCTGAAACCCTCTCTCCCAATGGAAGTCTCTTGGTTAATGAAGGCAATGATAATGGCACCAGGGAAATTCACTAGAGATAGAAGAGATTCAATCTTCTGTTTCGAACCTCGGGTTAGGTAATAAGGTATACGATGATCTGACCATATGCAGCTATGCCGGCTGTTTTGCTGTTTTAGTTAGAAACATCAGGACAAGTAAAGCTCCTCTCAATTTACATCAATGTCGTTCTGAACTTCTGTTGAATGAAATTTTCAATTCAATTAATGTACTTTGTCCCTTGACAAGAGCTTACTTATTTCATCCTTGTCAAGTTCAGTCTTTGATCTTCAATAAAATTTTAAAACTGCTTCTGTAAAAAGTTCTAACTATTTCATCCCAAATCAATATCATGTGTTCCAAATGAAAGACAAAAATTCTAACTATTTCTATAATGGGTTTAATAGGAACCCCGAAGAGATTATTCAAAGAAAAAAAGGCACATTCCCATTCCGTATATTCTCAATACAAAGACGAAGGGAAGTACTTATTTCTGTACATCAGTTACAGGGTTTGAATGTTCAATATTATTCTCAGAGATACACCTAATTAGAGTTATACGGATGTAGGTGGAAAATCAACTGTGACGCGGCTAATCTTCTGAGTTATTGGTCTGAACCAGCGTGATTGTAGATGTAAATGGAAAATGCAAACAGATTCTCCTGGAAAACAGAAGGGAATTGTTTCAGTTGGCAAGGGGGTGCTAATATACAGAAAAAAAACAAAAGCCAGAATTTGATGCTACCTATACTTGGAAACAGAAATGTCAATGGAGCATCTGATCTAGTTTCTGCCTGTACTGAGCCAACCTCTGCAAAAATTGCAAATAGCAAGTAGAACTACTTTTCTCAATTAATATTTAATAATTTCAGATAAAGGAATCATAATTAAGTCCTCAACAAGACACTGCAACTCTTCTCATTTATTTTCTTTTGAGCTTGAGATATGAGAGGTAAAGATGGACTATAAACATATCATATGATGATGAAAAGCACTTATAACTTGTACCACCGGTTTGAACAACCAAAAGATTTTTCAAAAGAAGTACGCAGAGCTTCTATGATACTGCAATTTCATGCTACTTGAAGCAAAATAATGCATTTAGAATCAGTAGAGTGAATGGATTTACACACAGGTTCGTAACTGATCAATGATAATGCTGAGAGGAAGTTGCATACCGTAGTATAAGCATAAACTCCAGCCTCTGTTGATGCTATGGGACTTCCCCTTCGAATAAACTTCCCCTCTTTAAAAATGTAAAGCATGGGTATCCCCGTCGATAGTTCTAAACTGATAACCTGTCCCATAAAGAATACAGAAGAAATGTAGCCTTAAGCAAGAGCACCATGAAAACTGAAAACATCATGAATGGAACAAAGAAATGGATTCATACCTCCTGTGTGGTTAATTTGTCAAGATACATAATAATAGACCTTAATGAGTTCCCATGCGCAGCAATCATGACATTCTTTCCAGATAAAAGTTGGGGTTTAATCTGTGCAAAGCTTGTGTTGATTGGGGTTCCAAATAAGTGGCTTATCTAAGGCCTAATAGATTGACAAATTGACATATATATACCTCATCTTTGAAATATGCAACAGCTCTCCGAGCACACATCTCCAAACTCTCGCCATTTGGTGGAGGTATATCGTAACTTCTACGCCAGTCGTGAACTTTTTCCTTCCCAAATCTATATGCAGTTTCCTGTTTATTGAGACCTTGTAATTCTCCATACCTGCAAAGAGAAGATAGTGCATGAATCATACATGCAAGAGGATTGAGAAAATTTGAGACAAACAGTAAAGAGGGCAATCAGAAAAGAAGCAATGGCAAATATCATTCATTCTTCTTGAAACAAAGTAAAAAGAAAAAGTGTCTACATTCTCCCATTCAGTTGCCAAGCTGTTATAACTGGAATTGATTGTTTTATGGCGTCTTCACTGTGTATTTGACTCCGTAGCCTTGCTTGCTCATTCTCATCATGCGTGAAAATAGGCACCTGCGAACAAGACAATGTCAATAGGTTATCAGTCACCAAAGAAAGTTTCTTTCATTCACAAAAGTTTTCCCTCAAGTTACCTTCTTGCCACGGTGCTGTGTCATGGCTAGCATAGCAGTCATCTGTGCACGAATTAAGACCGACGTAAATATCATGTCAACAGGTATGTTTCTGATTCTCTTGCCGGCTTCGATTGCCTCCCCCACTCCCTTGTGGGTTAAAGGTACATCAAGGCAACCCGTAAACAGGTTCTTCTCTTTCCATAAAGACTCCCCATGGCGAATCAGTATCAAAGCTGCCTCATCTGTAATGAACACAGGAAGATATCACAAACTAGTGATGAATGGTGCATTTCACTCATTAAATACGAAAGTATGCAGATGATCTGGCTGGCTTACTTGATTTCTTGAGAGATTCTTCATTAGAGGGAGATAGAGCAGAGGCTAGAATTACACAGAATCCCTTCTCTCCAAAACAATTAGACCCTCTCTTTGCCTTGAGATCTTTGGGAGGAAACCTCACTGAGTTGTTCCCAATTCGGCAATGAATTTCACAACTGCTAAGAGGCTGGAGAGTTCCAACTGCTTGCTGCAACATAACATTGGTGGCCATTCTTAAAATTCAAGATTAGCAAGCACCAACTAATAATGGCAGTAATCAATACACACAGTAATACACAAAAAGAAGCTTCTTTTATCCTCAATAACTGTATCTCTGAACAATCAACGATCCCTTCTTATACTTGGTGACTTCTTTGCAACTGTTAACTATAACCATTTCTTTAACAAACTAACCAACCCCTCAAACGGTTATGTTAGCTGAACAAGTAACCAACTAATCATCAGAAAGAGATATATTCATGAGTTGTTTCCACGTTTCTTCTTTTTCTTCATATGTGGTCACGTTTGGACCATCTTTATGACAGTTACCCTTTTCCTTCAGCTGAACATATATATATCACCTATTAATCAAATAACACTTTATAAATCTTTAGTTATGGTCATAGTTATTAGAACTTGTATTATGAGTATTTGTAATTATTATTATATAAAAAAATATTTATTCTTTGAATAAAAACCTATTATTTTTTCATTAATTATGGTCATGTTTGGGGTGATGTTAATGGACTCTGGAAAATGTAAGCAACTGGGCTCCTGGACCTATATGTTTAAATGGCTGCTTTGGGCGGCTGGAAATTGGTCCAAATTAGGCACCAAATTAGGCACCGAATATACAATGTCAAAATTAGGTGCAACAATGGTTGAAAATTAAATGGGAAATTACAAACTTTAGTCACTAAACTTTATGGTATTTATAAGATTAGTCCTTAAGCTTCAACTATAAATACCCTAGCTCATTTAGCTTCAAAACCATCCCAAATCATTCTAGCTTTCTCCCAATACTAGAGAATTTAGAGAGTTTCTTGAGAGTTGTTTTCTCCTTTTTATCAAGAAAGAATTATCATTGTTTTCTCCTTGATAGAACGAGAGAAGTTGTAATTCCTATTTTCTCATAGTGAAATTCTTTTACCGTTGCCCGTGGTGTTTACTCTATATTATTTAGGTGTTTTTCACGTAAATTTTGTCTCTTTTATCTTCATTTTTATTTTCTCAAATTATTAGTTGCGATTTTGCTCTATCTGATAGCCGTCTTCCGCAACAATTGGTATCCGAGCCAAATTAGAGTGTGTAATATCTACTTATTATCTTTGTGGTTGCCACCAAAAGGTGGATCCTCCAACATAAGAAAGTAAGAAGGTATTACCCATTCTTTGAAGGTTCCAGAGAACTATTCACAATAGTGAAATAGTGGGAGCTATCTGTAATCGAAGCTATGGCAACGAAATTTGATATTGAAAAATTCAATGGGAGAAATTTCTCATTGTAGAAATTGAAGGTGAAGGTCATCCTGAGGAAAGACGGTTGTCTAGCAGCTATCAGTGAAAGGCCGATAGATTTCATTGATGACGACAAATGGATCGAAATTGAAGGGAATGTTATGGTAAACTTTCATCTAGCATTAGCAGATGAAGTATTTTCAAGCATCGAGGAGAAGAAGACATCTAAGGAGATATGGGATCATCTCACCAAATTGTGCGAGGCCTCATCGTTGCACAATAAAATTTTCCTTAAGAGGAAATTGTACACTCTTCGTATACCATAATCTACTTCAGTGACGGAGCACTTAAACACACTGAACACGTTATTTTCTCAGCTTACATCCTTAAGATGTACAATAGGAGAACAAGAACGTGTTGAACTTCTACTTCAAAGTCTACCTGATTCATATGATCAACTCATCATCAACTTGACAACAGTAATATCATCAGTCTAGTCTTCGATGACGTTGCAGCTACTGTTCTACAAGAAGAAAATTGGCGCAAGAACAAGGAAGACAGACAAGTAAATCTGCAACAAGCAGAAGTGTTGACAACGAAGAGAGGGAGATCAACAGAACGTGACCAAAGCAACAGTCACAAACATGATAGATCGAAGTCGAGAAGCAAGAAGAATTTAAAGTGCTATAATTGTGGAAAGAAGGGCCACTTGAAGAATGATTGTTGGAGTCTAAATAAAAACTCCAATCCACAAGGAAATACCGCAAACACTTCATATGATGGAGATGCTTTATGTTGTGAAGCGTCAACCACCGTGGAAGGTAGAAAAAGATTTGCAGATATATGACTCATTGATTCGGGAGCAACATATCACATGACCTCAAGAAGAGAATGGTTCCATCATTATGAACCTGTCTCAGGAGGATTTGTGTATAGTTGCAATGATCATGCCTTAGAGATCGTTGGCGTGGGAACCATCAAATTGAAGATGTATGATGGAACAATCAAAATTGTTCGAGATGTGCGGCACGTGAAAGGCCTGAAGAAAAATTTATTATCCTATGAATTGTTGGATAATAATGCAAGCAAGATTGAAACACGAAAATGAATCATGAAGGTGTTCCGTGGAGCGCTTGTGGTAATGAAAGACGAAAAGATAGTAACAAACTTGTACATGCTTAAGGGAGAGACTTTGCTAGAAGCAGAAGCCTCTGTTGCCTCATGTAGTTCAGATTCTGTAATTATATGGCATCAGAAACTTGGACACATGTCAGAACAAGGAATGAAAGTCCTTGTGGAGCAAAAATTACTTCCATGCTTAACAAATGTATCTCTTACTTTGTGTGAGCATTGCATAACAAGTAAGCAGCACCGGTTGAAATTCAACACGTCAAATTCTAGAGGAAAACATGTATTGATGACTACTCTAGGAGATGTTGGGTGTACCCTATTAAGAAGAAGTCAGATGTGTAACAACCCGAAAAATGGAAAAAAAAATATAATTGTAATTTGAGGTTTTAATTAAGTTAATTGGTGAAATTTGAGGATTTAATTGGAAGTTTTAAAACTTGTAGCCTATTTTAAAAAGTGGAGGAAATTCAATGACCAATCACTGAATATTTCCAAGGAGTGTCGGCAGATTTTTTTCTTATATGCGTGCAAATTGATTCTGGTTTCATAACAGAACAATTTGTTAAGTTTTTACCCCACGCACCTCAACTTCCGACGACGATTCTGACACCGTCCGAATTCCGATCGTCGTTTTGAAAGTACCATCGTGTTCGTTATCGAGTCAGGAACAATCCCCTCAATTTAATTGAAGCGAAACGCTGCCAAACGTCGTGAATTTCAAGTCAAAGCATCGACGTTTTTTTTAAGCTCAATCGCCTAGAAAATCCTAAATTCATCGCCGATCGTTGCTCCTTTTACGACACCTCCCGCACCATCGTGTTCCTTGTGCCGTTCCGAGTCCGCCGGTGTCATCCTCGATCTCCGTTGACGGCGGCGCGTGGGGAGGTGGATCAGTCAAAGATTCGGCCGAGTCGAAATCTAGCTCTCCGCCGTTCAAAAATTTGAACCGATCTTTGTAAGTATCTCGAAATCGCTCAAAATAATTTTTAGAAATTTTTCCGTGATTTTTAGAGCCCCGGAGGACGTCGCACGCGCCCACACGCGCCGCCGCAGGCGAGTGAACGCTGGAAACTGGTTTTGAATCGGGTTTGACCAGTCACGACCCGTTTACCCGTTTACCCGACCCGTTGATCCGACCCGTTGACCGGTGCTATTATGGGAATTAATTCGGTTTTGGTGCTATTATGAGAATTAATTCGAAATGGGTGCTATTTTGGTAATTTTTTTAAAAAAAGGGTGCTATTTGTGTAAAATGTTTGACAGTTTGTTGACTTCCTTTGACCAGAACTTTGACCGGCTTTGACCGGCTATTAAACGACCTTTGTTTTCGTCCACAAATACCTATCCTGATAGTTTTCGACGTCCTGAATCCGTTTTTGGGGTCCGTTTTACTAAATTCAAACCCGAAAGTCTCCAAATCGTCAGTCAAAACCGTTGACTTTATTTTTGACCAAGAATTCGAAATTTTGGAAGGTCATACTTTATGTTTTTCGACGTCCTGAATTTGATTTCGAAGTCCGTTTTGCCAAATTCTGACCCGAAATTCCCGAATCGAGCTTGTAAACCCAAAAGGCTTAATATTTTAATATTTTGATTATTTAAATGAGATTTGGTCAAGGATTTACTCAATAAAATATTTTATGAAGGTACTCGTGTTTCACCTGAGCAAGGATCAATTAGGTCCGGTATTATCCGTTCGTTAGATCAGCCTGAACCGCGTACTACGAGAATTACCCGTAGGTTTCCGTATATTATTTAAATAATATTTAGATTATTTATATTAGGATTCCAATATGGATTTTTTTTCTAATTCGTAGGATCTAGCGCTGCAGCAGAACGTGATCGACAAACCCAATAGTAGGATTCCCTATCCGATTTCTCAGAGTGTGACAGGTGTGTTTCCTGACAGTGTTGTTTTACTGTTTTAAAATATTATTTGAATTATTTCAGAATGGTGATTATTCAAAATATTGTTATGACATGATACATGATATATGATTTCTGAATAATGGTTACCGACATCTGATTACCGTATTTTTGTATATGATTTTCAAGCATGATCCATTTTCATGTTTTAATGGATTAATCACCATTTTTACTCGAATACATATTTGTTTATTACTATCATTGGGGAGGAAAGAATTGTTGGAAGAAGAAAATATTGCAGGCTCCTCGGCTTTGTGCTCAGGGCCTTACTGGTCGTGACAGGGTGTATGGTTATAGGAACCTACACAATTTGTTCGTGACGGATGGGGGTAGTGTTCATATTTAAAAAAACATGTTACATAAATCGATTTTTATTGATAATATCTTATTAATATGTTTTTGTACGCTGTATGGAACACACTGGGCTTTTTAGCTCATTCTGTAAATTTTAACCTTTTTCAGATAACAGCAGACCGTAAGCTAGCAGATTTGGCATCAGGAGAAATCAACTACTTTATTTTGTACGAACATATATTTCTGTATGTTTTTCGGTTATGTTTGGTGACATGTATTTTATTATCGTTTTGGACATATCTGTATTATTAATATTATGTTCTATATTATATTTAACGTTCTATAAGTTATATATATATAAAAAAAAACCTCTGAATGGGATATGTGACCACTTAGGTTTGGGTCTAAC